CACACACACACACACACACACACACACACACACACACACACACACACCCATCACCGTCATTTTGTAACTGTTGTAGTAGAGCTAAAGCTGAAGCTTCCCATTTGCTTCAGTTTGCATTCAGCTGAATGCGACCCCCAGGGTTGGGCTTGGGAGGGTGGCCACTTAGCCTGATTGTGGTGGTGTGCAGGGTGGCTTTGGGAAGGTGGCTAAATTAGAAGTGGTTGTCAGGATGTGGTGTCTGTGACGGGGTCCTTCTGCATGTCTCAGAAAAGGAGGAGAGGTGGGACACACCTGAGTACTTCCTGTCTCTTACCTGTGTAATTCCCTGTGCTGACCTTGAGTTTCCACCAGCAAGGGGTCACTACGATTCATACCCTCTAAACTGATGGGGGGAGGAAGGTATTTTTCTCTATGAAGCAGCTGGTTGCAGCTATCTCATCACAGTAACGGAACGTGTGCTCGTGTAAAATCTAAGGGCCTGGAACCCAGCTCTGCCGCATCTTCTGAGTCCCTAGGGGCTCCCTCATAGCCTGTTCCGCACTCACTCAGGGGAGGCAGATCCGCACGTGAGTGAAGAGATTCAGAGCCTATGAGAGCCCTACCTGCCTGCCAGAAATGTCTCCCTCAGATCTGCGAGTTCTCAAATGCCTTCAACGTGGGATCGAAGCCTTTCAAACTGGGGATGTGTCCTAGTGTAACGCCCACGTGTCTACAGTAAGGTACTAAGAGATTAGGGACTGATGAAAGCCATTTTCTCCCCCTGTGTGCACGCTCATTTTTTTGAGGGGGTGGGGTGGGGAGGAAAGACGGAGGAGGCCCAGAGGTCTGCCTCACCCGTGTCACTATGGTCTGTCTGGTAAAGTGCTTCACACCCGAGAGTCTGTAAACTTGACAGAATGAGTAAGCTCTGAACACACCTCCTGCTTTCTTTCCTCCCTCTTCTTCACACACACACACACACACACACACACACACACACAAACACACACACACACACACACACACACACACACATTTGCGAACTCGCCAACGTAGGAAGGGAGTTTGAGAGACTTCTCCTGCAGAGGTCAGTCCACTGGGGAAGATGGGCTGTCCATCACAACCATAATGAATCCCTTTTACAGCTACTGTGCTGCTGGAAGGGCCTATGGCAGACCTAATGGTGAAGGCAAGGTCACTGTGCCAAGGTACAGCTTTCTGTCTTCAGTCTTCCTTCACTGTGGGTCTCAAGCTGATCCTTTTTCCTCCCTTACTCCACCCACTGAAGCTCCGTCTTAGTAAACCTCAAAGGACAATTCCCACACCTTCCGCTTTCTAGATTAAGCAATTACGGACATCTCCCCACTGACAGGAGGCAGCAGAAGTCATAAAGTTACCGAAACCTTCAGCATTTAGACATTCTCATTCAGATGCGATCCACGGAGAGAGATAGTTGGGTCTCAGCTTTCAAAAACTGCCAAGGTTGTTTTCGTAACCATAGGCACAGGGGATGCTGGCTTCCTTTGGGAATTGTGGTGTATTTGCATAAGCTAAGCCATCATTTAAAAGGAGATCTTCTCTCCTGTGGGCTGGGGGCAGGGAAAAGACGTGTGGGAAAACGTTGGGGGTGCTTATGGAAACTTATGGTTGCCGAGAATGTTTGAGTCTTCATCAGGGTGGGTAGCCATTCTTAGCATTTCTCAGGGGAGGCAGATGCACTCCTGAGAAGAGGGTGACGCCACCCCTAGGCTTGCTGAAAGCACCCCACACCTTCTCTTTGGTTCGCAGTTACTAGCTTAGCTTTACTTTGCGAGGGCCGAGACTGAGGCATGTAGCTTGGGCAACCCTTCTGTGGCTCCCTGGCCCCGGGCTAGCTTCTCAGGTCACTCTGTTGGGAGTCAGGCAGAGGTATTTGCTGTGCAGCACACAGAGCTTTGGGCTATACAACGGCCAAACCACTGAGTCCTAGGGATCCACTGCAAGAATTTATTTTGAATTCCTCACTTTGGAGCTCCCTCCCCTCCCCCCCCCTGAAGTAACTTTCACTGAATACGGGAGAATTTAGGTCTGTAATTCCCTAACGCTGACCACCAAATTCGTGGGAGTCAGAGCGCTGTTGTTAGGTTTTCCTGTCACCCATAGTCACTCAGTTTAAAACTGCTCCGAGATTAGGCCCTTCCTTCTCTTCTGACATCAGAGTAACCTTCATTTTATGAAATGCCTGTGATGGTGGGAGGTGATTATTGATCTTGTTACTAGTTGTACTTGACAGGGAAAATTTCTGTCTCGTATCTGTTTTCTCTGGCCCTCAGTTAATTTCCATTTTATACAGCTATCATTTGTGACTGAACTATCATGTATCTATCCATCTGTCATTAATCCGCTATCTATATCTTTGTATCATCTGTCATCCGGCAATCACCTACCTGTCCGTCCATTTATCTCTCTATCTATCATTTTTCTCCTAGAGCCCAGAGTGGGACAGGGGGCGGGCAGAAACTTGTAAGATCCTGGACAGGTGCTTAAGCCTCTAGAAATCTAGTAACCCTGTATACAAAATAGAGATCACATGTGTTGGCCTCACAGTGCTGCTATGATTGTCAAATTTCATAAAGAAAACACTTCTATGCCACCACTTGGCTTGTTGTAATGAGCAAGCTCAAGTCCCTCCCCCCTTGCCATTATTACCATTTTTCCCCCTGTCTCCTCCCCTGTGAAATGAAGGAGTGGGGCTGGGTAACTTCTAAAGTTGTTCTGGATTGGCCTGTGGAGAGTTAGTTGATTTGAACTCTGAGTATTCAGGTTTCCATAATATCACCAGTTGAGGGGCTGTGTTTTTCAACATTTTATTAAAGTTCTCTTAAGATTCTGCCCTTGGCCCAGCTTATTTGGGCCAGAGTTTATGAACAGAAGTTCTGTGGTCATTTTGGATTTGGCATCTCATTGCCACAGATGGGGTGTCTATACAATTATGGGATAGTTAGTGGCATCTGGGGCAGCTACCTTCCAGATGCCAGTAGGAACTGCTCAGCCTCGGCTTATGACCCTTTAGCAAGGAGCCCAGGCTTGGCCGAATGTCACCTGGGAGTAGAATCATTGCTGTAAGGTTCCAGCTGGTGCCAGCCTTTCCTCTCCTCTTCTTGCAAACTGTGGGGGTGGGGCTCCTCCTGTGCCTCCAGGGCCCCTGGCTCACGGAGCAGCACTTAGCTAGGGACTGCTCTTGATGCCACAGCTCAGAATGGGGACGGGTGACACTTGGGGAGTTAGGTCCAGACAGAACAACCCTTTCAAACCTCAATTAAAATAGTGTGTGTTTCAGGGGACCCCTCACTCACCACAGTGTTATGCTGTGCTCCTTGGATGATTCAAAAGAACCCCAGGATATGCTCTAACTTGAAAGAAAGATAATATTTAAGATAAGAGAGAGAGAGAGAGAGAGAGAGAGACATAGGTAGATATATTGATAGATAAATATGGGGAGGAATTGGGAGAAGTTAGGGGAGGCGCAATATGATCAAAATATATTTATGAAAAAATACTGGGACACCAAATACGTCTCACCAAAATCATTGGTGTGTGTCCTGTTATAGGTACCACTGGCAGGGGAGGAGGCAAGAATGACCAGGGTGGTTTCTTACCAGAGAGAAGCATGAAAGAAAGTACAAAGAAAGGAAAGAGTCCTGGGTCCGTAGGAGCTGAATCGGTTGCGTGCTCCTCAGAGGAAGGAGACAGAAAAGTGATAGGCCTCACAGTGCTGCTATGATTGTCAAATTTCA